TTTGTCTTCCTCTTCAATGTCTTATTTCTTTTCCTTATCTTATTGCATTTGCTGGGACTGCCAATACCATATTGACTAGAAGTGCTGCCAAAGGCCTCTCAGTCCTGCTCTTAACTTTAACAAGAATGCCTCCAAATTTTCACCACTAAACTATGGTAAAGTAAATTATTACCAGGCTTTTAAAGTTTCCTTTCTATTCATAGTTTTCTATGAGTCCGTATAGCTACGTGTGTGTGTGAGAACGAGTTTTGAATTTTTTCAAATGTACTTTCAGCACCTACCAAGGTGATCATATGGTGATCAGGAAGACAGGGCTAACAAGGAGACTTATTCCTGTAAATCCTTTTGTACCTGTTGAATTTGTACCAGGACTTCCATTTCTAATAGTAGCATGGGCTAAATAACTAGAACAACTGTCCAGCTGAAAACAATGGAAAATACTAGATTAAATTTTAGTAAAATCTTTAGAGCATCACAGGAATGTTAGGAAGAAATTATTAAGCCAAAATCTTAGTGAAGATGGGAACCCAGAAATGAACAGGACACTGAAGGCATGTGGCAAACCTGGCCACTCTCAACCTTGGCTGCCATGGCCTCAGCAGATGTGTGGGAACAGAACACAAAGCCCACAGCCTGCTTGGGGATCTACTCAGATCCCAAAGGACTAGTATAAGGATGAACCCTTGGTGTAAGGATGAATCAAAAACAAACCCCACAGCTCCTGCCCCAAAGACAATGATAAAGGAGAGGAAGTCCCCTGATGAGCTGCAATGACAAACTAATCCTCATGGGGATTTACAGCCCAAATTCACACAACCTGGATGATTCAAGAAAAAGTCAAGAACTGGTACTGTTCCCAGACATGCAGCCAAAGCAAAAATAAATCCCCACTGGAAGAACCCACCATCATCCAAGGGCTCAAAGGATGCCCACAAATAATTTTCTAAAGAAAATGAATGTCTCATAGTCATTAAGGAAAAACACTACAGCAAAAACCAGCAGAAGTAATAGAAAGCAGAAACAGAACTGCAAAACATTTGATACTGCAATTATCAGACACATTACAAAATCTATTAAATAAAACTCAAGCTTGAAAATAAATCCAGATAATAAGAAACTATATAGAATGACCAAGCAGATTTTTAGAAAAAGTTCAATGTAGCCTCAAAAACTGATAACTATAATAATTGTAAGTAAAAACTAAATGAATGGTTTTAACAACGTATTAGGCATAGCTGAAGAAAGAATTATAAATGGAGACTAGACCAGAAGAACTTGTCTAGAAAGAAACACAAAGAGGCAAAGAGTTGTAAAACATAAAAGAAAGGTTAAAACTCATGGAAGATAGATTGAGAAAGTAACGTGCCTCTAATCAGAGTTCCAAAGAAAAACGAGTGAGAATTACGCAATATTTGAAGAGACAATACCTGAGAGTTTTTCCAAGTGGACGACCTCAATTACAAATTAAAGAAATCCAATGAATTTTAAGAGGGGTGAATTTCAGGCTCTGAATGTATTACATATTTGAATTTTTTTAATTTTAAATAGTTTTTGAAAAATAAATCTGTTTGGGAGGAATGGGGCAGGAGAGTCTAAAAAGAAAGTTGCATATTGTGTGAGCAGCTCTGATTAAACTTACCTTTGTGACTTAACTCGTACATCAGAAAGTACACTGAAAATATAGGGGAAAAGCAGATATATGTATTCATTTAATATTTCATTATATGAAAACTGTTGTGGACAAAATGGGACCACATGCTAACCTGACTAGCTCAGGGAAGGCCTGAGTGGCAGCCTTGCAAACTTAGAGACCTAAAGTAACCACAAAGAATGGTCTGAAATGGTTTTAACTGAAAGCAGTTTATGGTGGGGAGTCATGTCCTAGACTCAAATCTTCCCTGACAAAGGTCAATCTTTACCCTAACAGAGCCTGTCTATTGTCTTTTTGCATCTAAGATAACATATCTTTGAAATGTCAAAGTAATTTTCCTTTTTCCGGACCCCTCAAAGCACAGGCACCGATCTGCAGAGACCACGAATCCCCTCATTGTTACTGAGTTAATTGTTGACTGTTAATGTCCTGTATCCACCTACGTAAAAGAAAAGTGTGCCCGTCATTTTACTTTTTATCCAATCCCAGAGGTTTCCCAGCTTTGCTTTCTCCCGCCCCCCTAATCTATCACGAATGAATTTCAAGTAACTCACATACCTCTCCTCTTTTGATTGTAACATCTAAAATAAGGTGCAAAACTACCATTCTCTGGAGCATTATCTCAATCCACTGAGATTTTGCTTTCCGGCGATTGTCAACAGTTAAACTCAAATAAACTCACAAAAATTCTTCACAGGTTTGAACTTTTCTTACATTGACACTGCTTATCCAAATTTCCCCTACATCTATTGAAACACAAATTATTTAATGTTCTCATTTAAAAAAAAAAAAAAGTATTGGCTAAGGAAACTAGCCCACTGAGAACTTTTTTAACCAGAATTTTACTTTGATCACAGGGACATTAATTGAATCAGAAACCTGAACTAAAGTAAACCCTGAATCAAAAACCCAAAATGAAATACACTAATCTGCAGAAACACAAAGGGAACCAAACACATATGGTAAGAACTTCACAGAACCAAAAATCTCTTAGAAAGTAAGTTGCTTCTTTCTGGAGGTGGGGTGGTTCTTTTTGATAAATTACATTTTTTTGATACGTTTAGAAAAATATTATCCAACAAGATAGTGTGTCCTTAAGAAGAACAAGCTGGATATTAAATAAGATGGCCATTCCGCGCTCCTCTCCAGAACCCCCCATCCAACCCAGTCTGAACACAGGGTTCTGAGGACCCGGCCTTAAAGGGAGGCCAGGGAAGCCAGGAAAACACGGTGACAAAACCGAGGAAGAAGCTGCGAGTCCCTGGCCCTGTTCTGAGGTGCAGAAAGATCTCAAAGCTGGTAGAAAAGGTATGAGAAAGCTAATCTCTTTCTTGACTCTGCTCCCCCTTTCCAGGCCCTTCCCCCCTTTCCTTCTCTCTTCTGCACCCATCGTCTTAGGCCTACACATCCTTGGCTGATTTCCATGTGCTTGGCTTCTGCATCTTCTGCTCTTCTCTCCCCCATGGTCTTCTCTCTCACCCCTTTCATTCCCTCCCCTTTCCCTTCTCTTCTTCTCCTGCTTTTTCTTTCTCTGGACCCTGGTATTTTCTTTTTCAATCTTCCTTCGTCAAACTCTTCTTTTCAATTATCTGACCTCATTCCCCACCCAAAGCATAGTAAATTTATAATCTTATGGAGCAGATTTGAAAGTATTTACTTATTTGCTTTATCCAACATGATGACTGACATACATTGTTCATAACTTGGGGGAGAAAATATTATTTATACACGTATCAGGCCTTTTTATTAAACGCTATTTCCATTTTTGCACCATCGTCACTGCCCCATAATTTTCAAAGCACTTTTTAGTGAACATTGGTAATCCATTCAAAATTCCTAACAGTGTTAGATTTTAAGAGAAAACCCTGATATTTCTCACTGTGATGAGGTCCTTACCTCCTTGTATTTATTTCCTCATGTGGTCCCTACCCACATTGTATAAGGATTGGTTTGTGTGACTAGCTAGCTGATCATGGTGGAAGTGATGGTGTGTGACTAAAGTTAGGTCATAAAAAAATCAGCAACTTACACAGGGTTTACTTGAAACTCTTGCTCTGGGGGAAGTCAACCACCATATTGTAAAGACACTCAAATAGTCCTAAGGAGAAGCGCACGTCATGAAGAACAATGGTCTCCTGCCAACAACCAGCACATAGGTGCCAGCCTTGTGGGCGAGCCATACTGAAGCAGATCCTCCAGCGCCAGGCAGGCCTCCAGGCGTCTGCAACCTCATGAAGCACTCCCCAGCCAGAACGACTAACTAAGCTGCTCCCTAATTTCTCACGGAAACTCTAAGAGATAAATGTTTATTTTTGTCTTAAGCAACTAAATTTTGTGGTAATTTGTTTGTTACACAGAAATAGGTAACTATTTCTGTACATTTTGGAGACAAAACTAAAACAATTTGTGCATAAACACCTAAAAACAGTTATTCTTTTACCAGTAACAAATATGCATATGCCAATTTCAGAAAGGACATTTTGAAAAAGTTCTGGAATTTTTTTATGCTCTCAGCTTACTTAGCAGTGCTTCTGTTATTTTTCTCTGATGCGGATGGAGAAAATGATATACATAGAATACAATTAATACTTTTATGTCTAACAAGTCTAGCTTATTATAAAACAGGCCCTTATGACAACATATCAGAAATAAGATTATCCAAAAAATCAAAGTAATAAGATAGGAAGTAGAAAAAGAGTTCTACACTCTCAAAACAATGCATCTGTATTCTGAAATATCTTCTTTTAATTATCGATAATATGGAGCTAAAGAACATTTTTGGTGTTCTTATTTTGAAGACATTTATACATTCCCTATTCATAATTATATTTTCAAGAAAATTTAATCAAAGTAATATTAAATCTTGCTGACTCTTATAAATGGGTATTACTATCTAGCTCCTACCACTGAATTTTTTTCTTAAATTAAAAAAAAAAAGTGAATCCATCCTTCTAATGACCCCTCCTTCTATTAGAATGTAATCGAATAATGTTATTAACCTAAAGCTAAAATTGAACATCAAAACATTCCTCCATGTGAAAAACTGAACTCTACTGTTATATCATTTAATTGAATCTCTAGATTCGCTTTGAGTGCAAAGAGGCTATAATTCTGAATTTTTTTCTTGCAAAGTATCCTGATGGGTATAATGTGATCATCATTTACACCATCCAAGATTAGAATACCAATAAAAAGGAATTAGATCAAAATACCAGCCATAGAATCCTTCAGTATGTATTTCCTTTGTAATAATAACCACACTAGATTTGTAGTGGCCTGTGAGGATTTTGATAATCTCTACACATTAGATGCTGAGTGAAATTCATTAAACGATTCAACAAATACTTACTGAACCTTGATTAGGTGCCAGGCATTATCCTAGAGCTTGAGAAGCAGCAACGGACAAGGAGCATTAGTTCTCTGCTTTTATGGTCTTGGTAGAGCAGTAGCTGGCAGACGGAACAAAGCAGGCAAAATATAAATGAACAGAATCACTTCAGATGGTAAGAAGTGTCGTGGAGAAAATTCAAAGGGTGATGTGCAGGGGAAAACTTTGTCAGAAGTGGTCAGAGAAGGCGTCTCTCAGGGGTGATGCAACTGAAATTCTGGGTCAGAGCATTCCAGTTGTTGGAAATATCTGATGACACTGAAACATTTCTTTAGGTGATACACCATTATTGTTTTCATACCCCCAAATCCCTAAGACGCTGTGAACTATGGTCCAATATATTTTTGTTTATTGATTTACACTGTAGCCCTCTAGATTGGATCCTAGAAGAGATATGATCCTGTATGTTGATCACCTTCACTTGAACCCTAGCAGCCTTGGCTACTGAAGAATCCTTTGGGAATATTAGATACCCAATTTATCTGGTTCTGAATTTATCCCTCATGCTCAAGGATTTTGAATTGATTTTGAAAAAACTGGTGTTATTAGATGTTTATGAAAGGCAAGGCTAGGATCTTAACGTTCTTTGTTGTTCTACTAAAGCTCATTATTTTCCATCAGCCAGTCTCTGAAATTAACATCGTTTTGAAGTCTAGGCAGTTCAAAGACTGCAAAATCAGCTTGATGCCTGGTGTTTTTTATAGTCATGCTTCCAAGTACCTGTCCATGCAGTCTCTTAAGGCACAGTAGCTTCCCACAGCCGATGACAGTTCACAAAGCAGTGATTCTGCCCATAAAGTAGCTCATTTAACCAAGATGCCATGAGGGCCTCTCACACCCCCTCAAGGATTTCAGTAAACCCATCTAGATCTGTGAATGTCAAGAGACCTCCCCACAATATCTCAGAAATTCCTAAACACTTTTTCTCAGCCGCTTTTCTCTGCCTCCGCTCTTGGATCCTCACAAATTAACTCTGTTCTCCGTTGATCAAGACACAACCCAGCCCTTACACAAGTTTCCACCAAAAAATAAAAATAAAAATGACTTGCACCATATATTTAAGCAGCTCAGTAACTTCAGGGAGCATTTGTGCGGAGGGAGGAGAGGCAGAGTCCCCTGCGCCCTCCCATTGGCTGCAGGCGTCACACCGAGGCCGCAGCTGCTCCTTGAGAAAGTGCTCACATTGCCTCAGAAACATTCCGCCCACACCCTAGACCCTCTGGGGCCCTCTTCTAGCTCCGTTTCTTATCAGGGTATTTTTCAAAGTAAATAACTTCCATTTCTGAGAGGAATTCTGGTGCAACTGTTCATAAAATAACGCTCCTCCACCTTACTGTACGTGGTGCACCAATTTTCACACTGGGGCCCCTTCCTCTGCTGGAATTAACAGCAGGAGGTTTCCTGTATTTTAGATCTTGGTAAGCCTAACTTTTACCAGTTATGAAATAGTTTAAAAACAAAGTGGAGCCACAGAGAGGAGTGTTTTGAGGGGAGGAACTAACAAGTGGTTTTCCACATTTGCTCAAAGAGAAGGCTGTTGATCTGTGTGGTTTCTCGCGTCCAAAGCCAAGTTACATCAAGTTCAGACCTTGCTTTCTATAGGGCTGTATTTTGCTGCAAACTGTGACATGCATAATGAGCTTCTGATACATTTCTTTCAAGTTGCTCTACAGAAACATAGGGTTTCGCCTTTTCTGATCCTCCCCCTCCTAACTGAGGGATTGCCACACAAGATGACATCACAAATTCCTTAGTTTCATTAGAAACAGCCTCTACTTAGGTCAGGTTGTAAGCATCGCTTTTCTGCGGGAAATATATTTAACTGAAAACCACAGAAAATTTCTAAATATAGGGTAGCTTACTGAAACAGCAGGAGCTAGTACCTCCCAGATACTTATTTATATGAGATAATGAAATTTGACTCTTTTGAAATTGACAAGTAAATATAAGTAAAGGAAAAACTGACTGTCATTTTTTTTAAGGAAACATTTCGTGGAGATCTTAGGTTTCATATCATTACATGTTCCTTGGCTCAGTTGATAATGGGCATGTAAACTGTTTTATGCAATTGAGAGGAGTATAATTTTCACATAATTCAGGGGTGTGATTATTATTCAAACATTTATGCATAATTATTATAAACAAACACCCATAGAATTAATTAATCTGGCCTTTATTTCCATGACCAAGGCTCCCTTCTATCCTTCCTTGACCCCGGCTTGGTAATTTCTTCTGACTCATTTTAATCACGTTTTATCATCACAGCGCTTCTTAGTAAGACAATCATACTTGCCATCTCTCTGCAGTGAAATGCTATTCATGAAGCTTGATCTGCATGACCTAAATGATTTCTGCAGTCAGTACCAGAGAGTTGTTTGTCCCAAATGGACAGTAAATGTTTCTAAAGCAGTTCTCCCTAACAAATGCCTAATTTACAAGGCCTTTCAAGGTGTTAATAATATTAGCAATGACTCGTCTAATAAATTTTCTCTCTGTATCTGTTTGACCATCTCATGAAAAAGCAAGTGACAAGAATGTAACCCAGCTCAGCCTGTGTTGGCTCAGTGGTTGAGCGTCGACCTATGAACCAGGAGGTCATGGTTCAATTCCCGGTCAGGGCACATGCCCAGGTTTCAGGCTCGATCCCCAGTGGGGGGCCTGCAGGAGGCAGCAGGTTGGTGATTCTCTCTCGTCATTGATGTACCTCTCTCTCCCTCTCACTTGCTCTATCTGAAATCAATAAAAACATATTAAAAAAAAAAAAAGAATGTAACCCAGAGCAAACAAAAATGACAGTTTTCTCAGCAAAGCTGTTCAGAACTTCAATTGTCTGATTTCTACAACTGTGAATCCCTTCATGTACCCAAGGCCTCTACTAGCTCCATAAAAATCAAGCTCCCAGGGAATATGCTTTTGAGAAATACACCATGAATTTATTTTTAGGGCAGTAGAGCTTCAAACACTCAATTTGACAACTCCTACTAGGAGAGCATGCTGATTATAATAATCATATTTTTGCAAAGCCTGGGGCCAATTGCAACACACTGAGATTTGTTAAAATGTGGGTTCTAGTCCATTAAATAGACAGTTATTAAACACCGACGCCAGGCAAGCTATCGTGAGGATCACAAGGTGAGTAAAATAGTTCTTTCCTCACGAAAGGTATGTCCTCACAGTGAGCAGGGAGGGAGTTAGTAGTAAAAATAACCCTGACTAATATTTGCTGAGTGTTTGCCATGTGCCAGATGTTCCACATACGTTATCTCATATAATCTTCATGACAACTGTTCAAAAAATGATTCGTTGTGCACCTGAAATTTACATGATATTATATACCAATTGTACCTCAAAAAATGATTAAATAAGACAATTTAGGTAATAGAAACTTTATTTAACACTTCCTGAAGTTAACAGTCTTCTTTCAGAGAAGGGCAAAATGGGGCAGAAGACAAGAAGCTTTATTGCATAAAGAATAGAGAACAGGGAAGAGACAGACAGAAAGTATCTGATTGCCCAGGCCACACAGCCAGCCTTGTCTGCGATGGGAAGCCCAGAGCCAGCTCAGCACTTGGGGACTGGCTGACTGAGCTTCACTGTGTTTCAGGTCAAGCAGAGGGACAGGAAAGTTATCTAAGTTTCAGTTTGCTAACCTGACACCTAGGCAGGAGCAGCTCCCATCTTGGGCCTAGAAACTTATTTTAACATAACTTTGAGACATGCAGACCCATTGCAGATGAGGAAACTGAGAGTTTAAAAAAACGTACAAGGACAGAAGAGAGTGGTGAAGCCAAGATTCAAATTCCAAGTCTACGTTGCAGGCATTTTCACCCCTGATCACTCTACTATACCGCACCCATAATCATGACACTGAAACTGAAATGCACGGGGGCCTAACAGGGAGTGGGGAGCAGATGAGTTGAAAGAACTGGGAGAGAAATTTTGAAAAGCCCAGATGTCTTCTCTGCCTTTCTCTCCCTCTCCCTCTCCCTCTCTCTCTCACATACACACAGTGTCCATTCACTTGAACTGAGAAAACTAAAAGGATTATTCAAAAAATATAAGGAAAACATTTCCCCATTCTCATCCTCACCTCTAAATATCAGTTTATTTCAAATGTAAGGTTTGGGGGCTGAATTGTCCTGATCGTTGTTTAAATGTGCCACTTTACACATGTAGTCAAAGCTTCTGTCTGAACTCACTCTCACAACTTTTATAAGGAAAATGATCTCTATAGAGTAGAAATGACATTAATTATGCTTGTTTGAGTCCAGAGATTTTGACTATCTCATATTCTAAAATTGTCAAGATTTGATTTCCAACCATGGTTCCCTATTTCATGGGCAAAGTTCCCAGCATCTTCAGTGGGGCTAAGTTTCACACAACAGGTTTAATAGCTGGATTGGTGGGAGGTCTTTATTGAATTTAATACCCAAATAAATTAATGTTTTTCAGAGTTGATTTCAATCCTCATGAGTCACACACAGAGGTAACACAGAGAAGAATATTGGTAACACAGAGAAGAATATTAGATCTCATTGATTCAATTCCCTGATTTGTTACTGAAGTCATTTATGATTTTTAGGTTGACTCAGAGGGAGACACACAGATAACTAGCTAATACAAACAATAATATCGACACATGATTAAAAAATAAAGAGTAACAAGATAGGAGAAAAAATAAGCCCTAGCAACAGAAAATAAAACAAGCAAACAAGGTTAGCAGCAGTGTCCATGTACCCCAGCCTCAACAATTTCCATTTTCTGAATGTACACGTTTCCTCCAATAACAAAGTCAAAACCATCTTAACAACTTCCTACCTTCTCTCCTTCCCCTGCTCCCTCCACTAAAGAGCAGCCCCAGTGGGTGGTCCTATGTCTCAGCAATGTTTGTAGATTTATGGCCTAAACTCTTTCACTACACGGAGGGGAGGAAGAGGCTAACAGATGTTCCTGGTTGACCTTGCTCTTGCTCTCACAGTGCCACCTTTAAACAGGGTGAGGAGCAGGCCCCATTAGTCTCTGTGGGAGCCAAGACTGCATTGTCACATAGCCTCAGATCAG